GGGGCGCGGGGTGCGATCCAGCGGCCCCGGCTGCCTTGTCTGTCTCCCCGTTTTCAAAACCGGGGAAGAAACCTTAACTCCTGGGAACAGGTGAGGGGCCTTGAAAATAACGCAGGCGCGAACCCGCAGCCCGAGGCCACGACGACCCGCGCCGGGCCCCTGGATTCCACTCACTAGACGCGAGTGACCCCGACTCATGACCATCAAAATGTTCCCCAAGCAACGCTTGGGGAACAACCACCACCCCTCCCCTGGTTACAGAAAGGTGAAAACCCCAATTCTCCTGCTTCCTGGCCAGGGAATATCTGCTCAATGGAAGAATCTAGAAAAGCGGGAAGGGCATTCATCAGAGCAAAATGCAGTGAGGAGCAGTTTTTAAGACAAAAGAGAACCCCCAGGGAAGCTGGAATCGGGCGCCCTGGCTGTGCCAGCCCCCGCCTTCCCCGAGGCCCCCGAGGGACAATGTTCGACTCCTAGTGGCATAAGGGGCCCATCACGTCACCGCTCCCACCTCCTACTCCCGCACTTGGAGCCAGAAAGCCAGGACAGCCCTGCCAAGGTCGGATACGGGGCCTCCCGCCGGGCGCCCAGCTGTGCCCGCAGGGCGGGACCCCCTCTGGTGAGGCGGAAACAGAGACCCCCCTTTCACGTTTTCCAATAAGTGCCCAGCTGTCCCGGCCGTGCTGATCCCTGACGCGCAGCTGCTCCCGAGACCACGGCTGCCCCGTTTCCTGGACACGGGCACCGCCCAGGTGGCGGTGGCAAAGTGACAGCAAAGCCCTGGCGGGGGTGGCTCGGGGCGCCTGCGCGTGCCGGGTTGTGCGGGTGCAGGGCGTGGGCAGGCCGAGGTCCGAGCAGCAGGTGGGAAGGGCAGGACAGGCCAGGGCCTGGGACGCCTGTCTCCGGGCCCATGGGCGCCCCCAGAGAAGCTTCCAGACCCGCCCCTGGCCGCCCTGCACCCGACTGGGCCAGCGGAGCCAGCGCCAGGGCAGGCAGAGCAGGTGGTGCGTGGCGGGCAGAGGCCGCTGGGCAGGGCAGAGGGTAATGCCGGGCTCCGCCTGGCCAAACAGCTGCGCACAGGCGACTGAGGGCAGCGTGGGAGACCGGGCTCCTGCGGCGAGGCGACCCAGGAGGCGCCGGCCCGTGGCACATCCTGGCACCGCCCTCCGGCCCTCCGGCCGGAACAGGCATCTGAGCAGACGCAGGCTGGGCCGGATCCGAGGAGAATACCGCGGCCAAGTTCACGGAGTTGCTCTGAGGATTAAATGGGCTGCGAGGGGCGTCCGCTGTGTAGTGGGGGGCATCGGCTTCCAGCTCCCCCTTTCTCCAGCCCTCCTGGCCTAGCTAGAGCCCCCTCCGCAAAGAACTCCCCTGAGCGCCCGGCCAGAGTCCCCCCTCCACACCCCCGGCTTCTGACACCTACCCTCCCCCGTGGACCTCAACATCTACCTTCTTTCCTGGGCCGTACCCCAAAACCTAAAACAGTCACGAGCTGCGAGACTATAGACTAGTTTTCCAAACGGAGTCACTGTGCGCGTGGGAAGGGCGCAGTCAACTAAGTGTCCTGGACAAACAGAAGAGACGTGCGGACCCCAGTCACCACCTCCTCCTCGCTCAGAAGCCACGGGAGCAGCAGCGCCCCACAGCGAGAACGGGGGTGGGGGTGGGGAGGAGGGTGCAGGCTCTCGTTTCCCTGGCGCCTCACAAGTTCACAGACCCAGGCTTCCATTCAGGCTTCACCAGAGCTGCCAACATCTCACCGGAGCGCGAAAGGAAGGACTCGCTGGCGGCCATAAGCCCCGAGCAGCCGAGCTGTTTCGGGCCTCTGCGGCCGGAGCCTGACGTGGCCCGGGCGCTGGCGCGGCTCAGCGCTGCAGACCGCCCACCATGTTTGGGTTTTCAGAATCCATACTTGGAATAGAAAAGTCCAGGGGGGAGCATGAGTAACTCATCGCCCTGCCCCCCCCAGTGAACCCCGGCCAATCAGCCTGGTGTCCGGTGGCCGGCCAGGCCCGTCCAGCTATACTTAGCAGCAGGGAGAAACCCGAGCTGCTCCGGAGGACACAGCCTGAGGGTCACAGTAAATACAAACTTTTTTCCTTAAAAGAAGATTCTCCAGTTGGAAGGGGACCCTGGCGTGGCCTGTGGCCTCCACGGGAGACGGGCCGCGCTCCAGGGCTGGCCGAGTAAGCGTCCCTCCAGCGGCCGTGGGGCTGAGCACTCTCCACCAGGGCCCGGGAGCCAGAAAAGCAAGCCCAGGCGCCAGAAATAGCCGCTGCCCTCCCTAGGAGGGGCCTGGCCCCGAGGGCCTTCGGCTGTCCGAGGCTTCTGGGAGCACCTGCACTGGCTGCCGCCCCCAGGGACGCCCCCCGGGCATCCTCCCAGCCTCCGGCGCACCCAGGGGTGTCGCTGGAATGGAGCGGCCGCCAGCGCCCCCGCCCCAGGGAGGGTCAGCACGCGGCTCCCGGGGTGAGGCCACAGCGCACGACACGCGCCGACTGCGACTGCGTGTCTCTAAGCTACTCCTCGAGGGAAGGGGCTAGCACGGCTTCTGGGGCCGTTCATGCTCCGCCTTCTGTATTTTAAGTCTTTTCCACTAGGGACATGTGTCACCTTCATTAAAAGCCCTCTAAGTGTGGCCGTCCACTGGCGTCTCCGCCAGCGGTTTACCGGAACATTCCTCCCGCCCTGGCCACGGGCGTGCCCACCACTTCTCTGAGACACAACTTCACCCTCCAGCTTCCTTGTCTGGAATTTGCCCCCTGGGGGCGGCTCAGGACCCAGCGACACTAGAAGCAGCCGCAGTCTCCAGCGGCCAGCGGTGGGCACAGACGCGGGCGGAAAGCGGCGCGGCCTTAGGACGGACTGGACAGTCCATTGGCGACGCGGGGGAAACTCCAGCCCCGGCTGCTGCCTGCGGCCTCCAGGGCGCACTTGCGCTGGAAGTCGGGGGACAGGAAACAACTGGGCTCCCGAGGGCCTGACTTGCATGAAAACAACTTTCCCTAAATTTGTACTTCACAAGGAAAATTCGGGTGCCAGTGGCGTCAAAATGAAATGTCACTCTTAGGTCAGCGTCTGCAGGAGGAATTAGGTGACTTTCAGGCTTCGCTAAAGACAGGGCCAGTGGCCCGGAGGGGGCAGAAGGACGCTGGGCGCGGGAAGGCAGAGTCCGCCCGTCTAGGCTGGCCCGGGGCGCGGGGCTGGGCCAAGGCGGCCAGCTGACCCCAGTGGCTACCTGGGGATGCGCCTAGTGCTGCAGGACTGGTCAGCGCCGCGGAGTGGCCAGGCGCCCCGAGAACACCCAAACAAAGCGTGCCCAAGCCGCAGGGGTTTGCATTCCACACACTGCCCTCGCCCTTCAGGGGGTTTGCAACAGCCCTCGGCAAGTGGGGACCAGAAACGCCCGCAGGGCGGCGAGTTTGTGGGGTTTCCGAGCAAACCACCGCCAGTGTCCCTGCGCCAGAACGAGCTGGACCCGCCTGCCAGAAACGCTGCTCAGGAAACAAAACCTGCACCTGCTCGCTGAACCCCCGGGGTTCACCCGTAGGCCAGTGGGCCAGGGGAGCCTCTCGAGCAGAGAATTAAGGGGGGCGGGAAGAAAGGAGCAAATGAGCTCGCGGGCGCGACAGGCGGGTGCGGCGCGGGCCTGGGGATGGGGCGACCGGTGACGGCGAGCGGACGAGCGGGTGGGGGCAGGACCCGGCCCCCCGACGCCCCTCCCCGCGTAGCGCCCCCGAAGGCGACAGCAGCGCTCCTGGTCTCCAGGGTCAAGTTCTCGTGGCTCGCTCAGGCCCGAGCTGGTAGATCCCCAGCCCCCTCCCCACCACTCGGGACCCCCACCCCCGACCCTCGGGGAGCCCACATCTTCGTCCTTTCTGGACCCCAATTCTATTCCTCACGGTCACACACCGCGATCCGTTACCTGCAAAGCAGCTCGACAACCCTGCAGGTAGCACTCCATGGTCAAGTCCAAGGTACGCCGCCGCGCCTCGCGGCGGAGCGGTTACCGGCGAATGCGCCCCGCCCCGGACTCGGGGGCTTGAGACCGGAGTCAGGAGGCGGGACTCGAACCCGCCACCCAACGATTCGGCCCCGACCCGGGAGGAAGTGCGTCACGGCGCGCGCCGGACTCCGCTGTCGTCCCACCCACGGCGGCGGAAGTGGCGCTCTGTCCGGGAGCCCGGCGCGGCGCGGGGCGTGCTGGGAAACGTAGTCCAGGCGCGCGGGAGAGTCGCCGGAATCCGGGAAGCCGAGCTTGCCGCGCGCTCGCTGGGCGCACAGCGCACAGGTGTCCCGGGGCGCCGGCCCGGGGCCTCAGCCGCACGTGGCCAGGGCGGTGCTCCGTCTTCTCAGTTGTCTTCACAGAGCGACCCATTGTCACCAGTTTGCGGTTGCTCATGTTACCGAAACACCAGGGTCATCTTGCCCCCCCCC